AGTAGGTCCCAAAGTCAAATGATCACTGCGGCATTACTGAGAGTTGAAAACTATCTAAATTCTGTCATTTTTAATAAAATGATCAGCGTTGGTGCTCTACCAGGTGTAACAATTACGTTTAACATCCAGGCATCCATGAAAACAGAATTTATTAAATTTAACAGAGTTAGAAGTTAGCAGGAAGTTAGCTCGCTAGTTTCCATCTAAATATGATATAGCATGTTCTGACTGAGAGATTTCTGAAACAAATTAAGACGTGCAGCTCTGCTATCACTTCCAACATAAGTGAAGACAGAAAACTAAACAGCAGTGACGTTTGTAGGGTTACTCAAGTTGGGCTAGCTGGTATATAATGATGTGCTACGTGATCGCTAGATACACAGCTATGTTAGCATAACATAAACACAGTGAAGCTGGAGGAGGAACGCTAACTTTTTCCACTCAATAAAAGTTAATGTGAGGGTTCCCGATGGTTAGAGACAAATGCAATCGCATGGCAGGATGCTGTAAACGGACCAAACTTCAGTCAGGAGAACAACTGAGATCATCCATCCACAATACGAGGTTAGTCATTCATATACTGCTGCGTGAGCTGGGCTGTAGTGACATCGTAAGGTTTTAAAAACTAAGCTTTAAAAAAAACAGTGGTAATAAAACTGAGAGAGGCTGACAGTGATCACTGACTTTTTTTAGGGGCTTGTTCAGATTAAATAGAACAAGATACAAAGCATTAAAACATGTTAAACACACAACAGCCTTAATAAACGCAGAGTAGTTTTGACCCTGAAGCAGGGTTCATACGTCATCACTTAAAGATCGGATTCCTTGCTGATGATAGATAGACGGTGCATGAGCTGGCAGTGTGATGGCACGCTGATATGTCACAATGACAATCATTTTCCATGCTTAGCCTCAGCATGTATTGTAAAATGTTTTCTATATTTGTTTAGGTGACCCTGAATCCTCCCTTAGTTATGCTGCTATAGGTGTAGACTGCTGGGGGATTCCCATGATGCATTGAGTATTTCCTTTTCAGTCACCTTTCTCACTCAACATGTGTTAATAGACCTCTCTGCATTGAATCACACTTGTTAATCTCTCTCTCTCTCTTCCACAGCATCCTGTCCTTCTTCTCTCACCCCAACCGGTCACAGCAGATGGCCCTGCCCCTCCCTGAGCCTGGTTCTCTTGGAGGTTTCTTCCTGTTAAAAGGGAGTTTTTCCTTCCCACTGTCGCCAAAGTGCTTGCTCATAGGGGGTCATATGATTGTTGGGTTTTTTCTCTGAATGTATTATTGTAGGGTCTGCCTTAAAATATAAAGCGCCTTGAGGCGACTGTTGTTGTGATTTGGCGCTGTAATAAATAAAATTGAATTGAACTGAATATGTTTTGCATCCTGGACAATGAAGCTGACAGAGGAAGTAATGGGAAAAAATATTTTTAAATCTTAAATCTTGTGTTTAAATCTTAACACCCAATGTTTTCCTTGATAAGTCCTGTTAGAGCCACTGTAATATTACTTGCAAAGTATTCATTCCTTTTTGTTCCTTGTTATTGTTTCATTAATTTCTGAAACATTACTTTCTTTATAACATGCTAGTTTAGAATCTCATCCCTCCACCTCTTGCCACTACCATAAATCCGTTCTCTTTTCATATAAGCATCGAAACTAATAAACATAATCGTGTTAGTTTTGGCAAAGTCATGCGTATGAGAACTCACAAACGAACTGTCATGTCTAGTCTGATACAAACATACTCGTCTGGTTTATTCACTGTGCAAACACTGCATGCAAAGTGCACCAGACTAAAAGTAAAAACGCCTGTTCTCAGTCCAGCCAGCAGACAAGTGTTTACCAGCTTAGAGACAGAATAAATTTGCACCTGTTATGAGTGATAAGCACAGCAACAAATACATGAAGCAATTCAATATGCAAAGTTTGTGGCATTTTTGGCAAATATTGCATTATTGCTCCTGTTAGGAGCGATGCATGCCTCACTTCATGCAATACTGGACAGCGTGGCTTCTCTTGAAAAGAAAGGGACAAATTTGACAAGTTTGCCTTGCTGCTATAATTCTCAATCAGCCTGGATAAATAATTTGTTGCTGTATGAAAAAACACCTTCACAAATCGCAGACTTCTTACTGTTTCTCACTGATAAAAGAAAGAGGAACAAAACGAGGTTGCTTTTCTGCAGTAAACCTATTCGCCTTGGAGCTCTTTTACCCAAGAATTCCATCAAACTTTATGTTTTGTTTTTCACAATAACAACGTTGAAAGCATTCAAGGAAAAAATATTTACGACCTTCAGACAAGTACCTCATTAATTATAGCTACCTTATTGTTTACTGATGTTTATCTAGACAGTTGCCTTCCCATCAGCCTCTGCAAACTCTCTCCAATAACTACTTCATCCAGAGCAGCAACATGCTGCCCCTAGGCACCACGTGCCAAGCCTTATCTAATGTTTCATCTAATCATTGAGCTTTTCCAACCTTTCTCTTATTGAAAACTTCTTCAAAGACTTCAAAGACTTCAGTGCATCATTTGATACAGTTTGTTACCTTAACCTCCTAAGACCTGAACTCTTTCATGGCATGCATTTTTAACTTCGCTTTGCTACTTGAGCTGATGAATGTAAAATCAAAGAATTATCTTTTTACCTGATTTTTCTCTATAAGGGTCTGATATCCACATATGAGGACATTCGACATTTGCAGTGTAATGTTCTCGTAAGAGATATCAGGCCCTTATAGAGCAAAATTAAGTATTGTGATCTAGACCAGCGGTCCCCAATCCCCGGGAGTCATTTGGTACTAGGCTGCGAGAGTTGAGGCTCGGGTGTGAAATTTATGGTTTTCAGGGTTTTTATCTGTTTTTATCGTTATTTTTTATCGTTAACTCGGTTTCCCTGGATCTTTTCCTGTGTGCTATGAACAAATTTTCTTTTTTTGTACCGTTACTGGTTTTATTTTGTTGTATTTATCCACAACACCTTAAAGCCAGCCAGTAAAATATTGTCGGACATAAATCGGTCCGTGGGGACTGCTGGTCTAGACAACCCAGAATGTGATGTCCACATATGTGGACACCAGGTCCTAGGAGGTTAAATAAAATTGGCACTTTCCTTTATTATCTTTAATATTTCCAATAATAGGATTGGTATTAAAGGAAATGTGCAGCAGTGGTTTCAATCACATCTGATAAACTCAGATTTTTGGATGTAAATGGCTTTTCTTCACATGCAAAAGTTAATCGTGGACTTCAGGATTCTTTACTGGGACCAACGCTATTTACATTATACATGTTTCCCCTAGGCAGTATTATTAGAAAACAGAAAAATATAATTTTACTGCTTTGCAAATGATACCAAGCTTTATTTATCTGTGAAACCAGGGGGCACAAATCATCTAGTTGAACTAGGCATGTCTTACTCTGGATGGCATTATCTTGGTCTCCAGTAACACTGTGGGGAACCCAGGAGTTGTTTTTAAACAGCATATGCCCTTCAATCCACACATTAACAAATATTTAGGACAGCCTTTCATTCATCTGCCCAATATCGCAGAAACATCTCGTCTTAGGTTGACGCCAAAAAGCTAGTCTGTGCATTCATTACTTCTAGGCTGGGCTACTGTAATTCATTATTATCAGGCTGTGCAGTTAATCCAAAAAGCTGCAGTGACAGTACTGCAACAGAGCAGAAAGATAGAGCATTTTTCTCCTGTACTGGCTTCTCTTCATTACCCCCTCTTAATCACAGAGTTTAATTTAAAAGCTTTCTCCTCATACAAAAACGTCCTAACAGCCTTCAGCCATTAGACCGTTTGTGTCCATTTGGGCCAGTTAGACACCCTCTCTACTTTTAAGATTAGTCTTTGTGTCAGTTGTGGTGACCCTGAACCGTCCCTTAGTTACGCCCCGTAGGCTCAGACTCTGTGTGATCCGCTGGTTTCTTCTCCAGTCACCTCTTTTTTCTCCCCACTGCTACACATCCAGTCTTTCCCATTGCCTCAACCCATAGCTGGTTCTGCCAGAAGTTTCTTCCTCTTACAAGAGTTTTCCCCTCCCACTGCTGCATAGAGTTCATTCATAGGGAATCATCTGATTGTTGGGGTTTTCGTGCGGTTGTTAGCTTGCAGAACAAAGTGACTTTGGGTGGCTGCTGTTGTAACTAGGTGCTGTATAAACAAACTTGAACTGAATACAACTAATGTGAAAGTGAGTCAAGTAATGAGTCATTCTTAGCTGGCAGCAGTTGTTGTAGTGATCACATCCTTGTTGTGGACATGTCTCTACCTGCCCTACAGCAATACATGACATGTTGACAGCACATGCTGGCTGTTTAGTCAACTCTTCAATCATACATCTAAAAAGAAAAAAGACAAAATTATATGAAGTTGTATTAGTTACTGGTTTGATATTAGTCTGTATAAAAGGCTCTTTGAGGAAACTCCTTTTTGTCTCTGTGCCACATTGAAAAACATACAGGTTAGGCTGATGTCCGCTGTTAAAAGATAACTCTTGGGCACAGATCCTCTGCCCTCGTGAGTCAGATCCAGCTTTGCTCACAGACATGACACCACAGAGTGAGAATGAGCCAACTGAGCTGAAGCAACCGACACTAATAAGGAGAAGAGAGCTGGGGCTCCTCACACTCACTGTTTTCCATTTGCCCAAGCCGGCAGTCAGGCTGGGATGAGGGGCTAAAATGTGATTTTTTTAAAAAGAAGGGATCAACGCACAAGAGGTGAAACAGGGCAATGACCTTCAGTCGCGACTTCCTGTCTATACACAGGTGAGTTCCTTAGATATTAGAAGTGATAGACGAAGGTTAACAAAGCTGAGGAAATTATCTAAATCAGGGGTAGGCAACTCCAGGACTCGAGTGCTGGTTTCCTGCAGGTTTTAGATCTCACCCTGGGCCAACACACCTGAATCAAATGATTAATTTGTTCCCAGGCCTCTGGAGAGCTTCAAGACATGTTGGGGAGGTAATTTAGCCATTTGAATCAGCTGTGATGGATCAAGGACACATCTAAAACCTGCAGGACACCGGCACTCGAGGCCTGGAGTTGCCCACCCCTGATCTAAATGAAGCTAACTTTTATAATTAATAAGAGCAGTTTCAAACGTATTGTTTTCCAGATAGTTTTAGTTAAGGTTTGAATACATACATACTGTGAATCATGAGAGTTTTTATATACATAAACTGGTATATAGCTACTTTGTTTTGGAAATTTTAAAGGTTTGTACGTTATATTTATTTTCCAATTAAAAGCATAACTTACTGCTGTATTTTTCAGTGTAAATTGACTTATAGGCTAAATGAAGTTAACATGAGTCATCTTAAGATTCCTGTAAAGCTGAGGAATTTATCAGTGGTTTGTTTGCTTGCCTGGGCTTCTGCCTTCATGAGTAGTACTGCCTACTCATAAAAATAGAGAACAGCATTAAGAAATCTATGTAGACGAGATAAGTCAGCAGTGAGTCTGAGGCAGCGACAATTTAGCGACAATTTAGAGAATTATTTAGTGTCTAAACTGTTTTATGTCATTCTGAGCTAACCGCCCCGTGCTGCACTCTCTGCAGGTCGCATCAACTTTTAAAGTCGATCTGGGAGATAAGCTGCCTCTGCCTTCCTGGTTTAGTCACAAAAGGGGTGCACCCGGCCTCCAAAGGATGGCTACGCAGGTTTTTACTGCTGAAGCTGGTGACGGTGCTGCTGTTCCCCCATGGGGTGGGCCTCCCCCTGCTCCTGGGCTGTGTATTCAGCCTGCGTGCTCTGTTGCTCCTGCGCTCCCCTCACATCTCCACCAAGCCCTCCACTGTCCTCCTGAGCCAACTGGCTCACTCAGATAGCCTGGTGCTGCTGCACTGGGCGATTCGGCTGGGAGCGACCCTGGGCAAGTGGATGGAGGAGGCGGGCTGGAAGGCGGAGGTGAGTTTTATGAAGGACGGGAAATTGGTTTGGTGGAGAGAGGCCGCAAAAGTGCTCTGTCATCAGCTGCTTGATGCACATCAGCTGGCCTCTCTGCTGCTGTTGGGTCTGCTGGGACTCGAGGCCATGCTGGTGTCACGCTGGCCTCAGCAGACTCGGAGATTCAGGACTTCTCGCTGGGCGCAGCTCAGCTGCCGTCTGGCCTGGATGCTTGTGCTGCTGGAACTCACGTCTTTGCTACACTGCAAAACATTGCAGGACTTCAGACTTCAGACGTACCCCTCAGCATTTCAGGATGCTCAGATTTCCCCTCCTGGCATCGTGCTTCCCCCCTCCCTGCCTACTTTCTCATGTTATCTGAGGAAGATGTTATGGCTGGTGAATTTATGGCTGCATTACACCATCTTCTATGGTCAACCACAGAGGAAAAAGAGTTCTTATCATTAGACCTTTGTCTAATGATAAGACAGCAGTGGGGAAATGGTTGTATTTATACAAAAACAAAATTGTATTTATAAAAACTTATTTTACAAGCCAGACTATGTAAGCTTTTCTGCGAATAATCTGTCATACAGACTATTTAATTTTAATTTATAAAACCAATAAAAAAATATACTAATGTAAAAATGAATGCTTTAAAATGTTAATAAACATGAATTTGACTACAGAAAGTAAAGTAGAAGTTACACTAGGCCTACACCAGCTGGAACAGGAAATACAAGGGTTTCATACTTACAGTAGTCATAAATAGACAACTATTCAGTGACTAATCCATCATCTGCATTCCCATTTGCATAGCCACTTATCCTGTTCAGGAGCTTCAGAGTAAAATGAAAGTGATTTTTCATAAACAGATTATCATTGAGGAAAATTCGCTTTATGAATGATCTGAGGAATTTGCTTTAAAAATTAATAACATTTTAATTTCTATAAATTACCTTTAATTTGACCTTTAATTTGAGTCCACCTCTCGCCCTATGACAGCTGAGGTAGGCTCCAGCTTATCCCAGCAACTCTGATAAGGATACAAGGAAAAGAGAATGGATGGACTTTTAATTTGTATCATATTTGCTTTATCTGGCATTTGGGGAAAAAAGCTGCATTGTGGAGTTTATTCAGGTTTTTCAGTACATTCTTTGTATCAAATATGGTATAGGCATCGAGGGGTTAATCTTTGGAATTATTGTGTTTTATCTGTTATAGGAGGAGCCATGCACTAAAACATTCCCTGCTTTATCTGCATCTGTTTGAGTCTTAATGGGACTATAATTGACAAAATTAATGTAATGTTATATTCAGTAAGAGTTAAAACATGTGACTATAACCATTAACTCATTAGGAAGCTCTTTACTGAGGTCACATATCAAATATGAATTAGTGTAATTTTCTCATAAACTTCTAAACAATTCTTCTTTTCTTTGTATTTAAAGTCGTCACACCCTGCTCGGCACGACAATTCAAAAAGAGTTCATATTTAAGCCGTTTCACTTTTCAGTAACCACATTTAATGCCCATCTTTTATGTACAGTGTTTTATGAACTGAGCAGAGAAAAGTCTGACTGTAAGACATAAAAAGACTTTTTAATTCTTTCAAATGCAACTTTTCATGTGTAAACACAAACTAAAAGCAAGTTTAGTTTTTTTTAACATTACTTGGAGTAACACCTGAAATTTGCTTAGAGTTTAAAATGATGTATTGACATATATTACTAAAAAAGCAAATACTTTTGGTACAACAAAATGTGTTGCAACAGGACAAAACATCCTTTAAATGGGAATCTGAACACACATGGTTTTCACACTTGATTTTTGAGAGGCTTATATGACATGATCAGCTTTACGTGCAAATGCGCGCTCACTTGTTGTCTCTCCCTTATTTAAACTGGCAGCCAGCCCAGGAAATGGTGTTAATACCAGAGTGCAACACAATAAAATGTTTGCTGCAGTAAAACCGCACACTAGAGCTCATAACAGTCTTTTCTAAAAGGTTTCCAGTTCACTGCAGCTTTTCATCATTTCTTTTGTGCGGCAAAACGGAAAACAACAACAACAAAAACAACAAACTGGGATGGGTCACAATTACGCTCTAATGAATGGAAATGGCCTCAGCGTAATTTCCGTAATGTCTTCTATTGATTTAGTTTGTTACTATATGGATAGTACAAATGTGCGCTGATTGGAAAATAATTTTCCTAAACGATTTAATGGATGGTTAGTGAAATGTGGGTAACTTTGGGCAGGACCAAAGCCACAAACACTCAGCTTGGCAGGCAGGGCTGTATCAAGACATGATCTAACCAACCACCACAGTAATACCTGAACTCCTCACATTTGTCACAAAGCACATGAGAGATTCAAGATAATGACATCTGGATAGAATCTGCGACATAACCACATCACCCACAGCAGTCAGTGCCGGGAAATATGTGCTCTGTCGCTGCCATACATGATGAAATTAAGGAAGTTCCAACGACAGAGAGGGGTGAACACATTACATGGTTCAAAGTTAATGTGAGCAGCAGCTTCCACGTACTTGTGAGTGAATCCAGAGTTTGTTCTTGCAGTGTGCGGTGTGTCCAGCAGAAGGAAGCACAGAGCTGCTTGCTCTGCTTCTTTACATAATCCACTCCAAGGAGCTCCTGACACAGTGTAAAAGACTGAAGAGGATCGAGGAACTCTGCTTCTATGCTAACCTATTTACTACTGTGTTTGTGTGTATCAGTGTGTAGCTGCAAACTCAAGTGTTCCTGGAAGAAATCAATTAAAGCTGAAAAGCAAGGAACAGCTTAAGAAAGAGGCCGCTTCCTTCCCGTGATGTTTGGCAGTGGTCGCCCTACACAGACTACTTTGGCATCGCAGCTGTCACTCACAGGGAAACAATGTGGGAGGTTACACTTTTAAAAATAACAACATGTCCTGTTTGTTCTCTCAAATGAGTCAAGGTTCATCTGCACTACAGGCTGTAAAGGAGAGACCGTGGTAACTGGGTCATTTCATCTCAAATCAACATGGGCCTTGTGCTCGACCGGTTTGCATCAAAGGTTTACGGACCGAAGTTTGTATGTCTGTAATGAGCCCTCTGACATTTAGACTTCATCTTCTCTCAGCTTTGATCTTTGATGTGTTGTCTTTCAATTTTAAATATAAGGCTGAAATTGAACTTTTTCATACCTTGGGTATTTTCCTTCTCATGTTCCTGTTTTCTCCCACTGCCTTTATCTATAATAATAATGCGTCTGCTGTTTTGCCTCCGTGCTTGTGGACTGGGTTTCACTTCTTCTCTGATCCTGCTAACCATGATTCTCAGGAAGGCTGCCATGCTTCTCGAGTTTATCTACTCTTTTTTTTATGCTTAAAACTCTATCATGTAAAAGTCACCAACAACCTGCCTGTCGGCCACTTTAAAACTCTGTGTTTGACTTTTACTAATTAGCAAATGGACCAAACCTGTATCCACTCATTGCCAACAGTCCTGATAGGACCTGATTTATTTGTCCTAACATTTCTTGAAGATGAGGTTGTGATACGTTCATCAAAAACATGTCATTTGTCACCAATGAAACAGTCCGTAACATATAACAGTACAGAATGGCCTCTTGTTTTGACATGTAGTTCAACAGCGCCCTCATTTGGACTGTTTAATTTTTCCAGTGTCAAAGAACTTGTAAAAATCCATCAGTCCAGATCATTAAGCCACATGCTTTGTCACGCTGTTGCAGCTATGGTGTTGTGGTGGAATTAAGGCACGACGGGACCACAGATCCATGTTTTGAGCCATCTTTATTTAATATTTGCATCACACCACCACAACCCCACAC